GGTTTTTTGTCAGCGTAACCATTTTAAAAAAGCGTTCTTCCGAAATTCATTCAAAAACTTGCTAGTTTCACTTTAATTTTTTAAACTCAAGTAGGATCATTCTGTTCGCAAAAGGTGCGTTTTTGCGAAGAGGGCGCCACCGAATTTTGAGGACACTTTTTTAATTGGCTCAAAGAGAGAAGTGGCCCCTCTTGTTATGTAGACTCTTTGTCATGACTACAAACAAACAAACAAACAAACAAACAAACAAACAAACAAACAAACAAACAAACGAAACGTACACAAAGACACGTTCATTTTCACTCACACGTCCACACACACACACATATACATGATAGTCACACTAAGACCCATTCACTAAGAAAACTTTTGAGCCGCACATTTTCGAGAAAAAACTATCAAAGCCGTGCACTATTAACTATCAAAGCCGCGCGCTTTTTAATTATATCGATTCAATTAGATTGACGATTACCAAAACAGTACCATCCAACAATCTAAGTACCCTCGGCGTTTTACTGGGCTTGGGACCAGACATCAGTTAGATTTTGTATTGAACGAATAGGCTTTTCTGGTATCAATAAGAATAATAAATCTAAAGTATAGTGTTGGGGCAGCATTCTTTTTTGCTAATTCAGGACAAAGTCTAAAGTTGTGAGACTTGTCTATCTCGATACATTAGCTTGTTATACAATATTCTCCCTTCTTTTTTGAAGGCGCCTTTCTGTTTGGTCAGCGTTTTTAATGGTCTGGAATTAGCTCAACATCTACAAAAAGACGAATATTTGGATGGAGGCTCTACCGAATAATTTTGTCAAGGAGACTGTTGTAACCATTGGACGGAATCGGCAATCTAATTGTATTTGATAGTGCGCGGCTTTGATAACTTTTTTTTCTCGAAAGTGCGAGGCTCTGATAGTTTCCCCACCCACTTGCCCTCACACACAAAACAAAGCATTAATTTAGTCAGGCTAGAGACCTGTACCGTGATTATGTTCGCAGATGTGCACAACGACTCTACTCAAGTTGAAAAATAAAAAGAAACAAAAAAAACAAAACATTTCTATCATTTACGCACTGAACAACACTTGTTTGGTTAAATGATTATAATAATGATAAATAATAGCATTTGTACAGCGCAAACCCCACCCAACAGTAAGTTATTGTTAGTTTTACAATCTACGATCAACTATTAAGCAAGCAGATTAATAAATGTTGTATTATAATAGCCCTAAACTGATAAACTCTAATGGGAGTTCGGATTCTTTTTAGGTACCGGTGATATACACGTACGTTGTACAAATATCAAAGGTTACCAACTTCTCATACCCCGCCACTACATAGGAGACAAGCGTATAGATGACCAAACCTTGATACTATAATTATTTATATATTTTGACCAATAAAATTAATAGAATGGCTATGTCAATATTATGCCGTTTTTGTTATTAAAAGAAACACAGGTTTTAGTGTTTCATTGGTACATTTTTTCATTAAACACAAAAATTTCGATAACCTTATCCATTCACATTCTCTATCAGTTTTCAAAGTTACCATAGAGGGAACAATTGTTCGTGTAAGGTCACAGTTATGTAGCGTACTGTCTTCCACTTGGAAAACTAGCAATATGTAGGACATTGCAGACAGCATTATAAAGACTACAGTAGACAAAAGAAATAGTACTATAGACAGTAGATACATTACATAGTAGACAGGCCACTGTTGATAACCCGTTAGATATCTTAACTTCTGTTGATAATAGTATTCGTGACTACTGTGGACAATAATTCTGGACAACTGTAGACATTAATATTCTAGACTGCTGTAGACAACCCATAAGATAATGTAGACAATAATGTTCGAGACGACTGTAAACTGTAGACAAAAATATTCGAGATAACTGTAGATAATAATTTCTGAACAACTGTAGACAATGATATTTGTAGACTACGGCAGACAGTCATATTCTAAACCGCTGTAAATAATAATATGTGTAGACTTCTACATGCAATTAAATAATATTAAATGGCATTTGTACAACGCATATTCCCGCTCAATAGTAAGTTGTATGAGCTTTATAATCTATACGGTTATCCGACACATTCTTGGCTTCCATGAAAGCATACAGTGCAAGTAGCTGGTTAAATGTTCAAACACTAACCAACTGACAAGATCCTTCACTGTCTATAGTGGAGTGTTTTGTCTTGGTTGCAAGTTTTCATTCATTCTGTCAGACACTCAGGAATACACTTAACCTGGAACCAGGGGATTCAGCTTCCACATGGGGGCTGCCATCTTTATTCTCTGACTGACCTTGTCAGGTCTTTCTCCAAGCCTTAAGGCCAAACATGAAATGCCAAATAGGACGTAATAATTCCAGTATCATTACACCTTCCCCTTTTAAGTAAACTTCTTTCTTAGAAGAAGCGGTAAGCTAAACTTTTAATAATGAAGTAGCCCATATAGCATGGACATAGAAACCAAATCAAAATAATGTATATGATGATGATAGTGGAGAATGTTACTCCTTAAACTTATTCTAAAATCACAAACACAATATGATAGTAAATAGCAATAAAGTGTTCGTGATTCAACTGACGAAGGAATGTCAATGTTCTGCAGTTTCTCTTCAGAATTGTCTTTCAGAAGTTTGAACTAAAATAAAAGTTCCTTGAATCTGGACCAAAAGTTCACAATCTGTTCCTACGTTCCTAGTCTCCATGCGCAGAGGACATCCGAGAGAACCGAATAATATTTATAAAAACGTTTTAACTATGAAGCTGCTGAAATATATAAAGCTGAAAATATGGCACACATTTCTTGGAACTATGGCTCTAACCTTGAGCCTCGAACTTGAACTTGAACAAACTAAAGATAATGAGGCTCTATCCTTGAGCCATGGACACAACCTAACCGCTGCTTGAGCAGCCTTCCCCAAGTCTTCACAACAAGGAGGCTTTATCTAACACATTAATACGTGATATTATGAACTTGATATCTGGAAGGCTTCACAACCGTGCGGCCCGATCTGGTTGTGCACTGTTGCCGTGCAGGTACTGGTGAAGACAGGTGATGAGGTGGCGATTCTGCAGGTGACTCTGAATCAGTCACGACTGTAGGCTCCCGAGTCGATTGAGTCGATGTACTGTGACTGGGAGTTGTCGCAGTAGTAGGCATACTGAGAGTTGCTGGCACCGGAACAGCAGATTCTTCAGATTGCAGTCGAGGTCTATCGGGTGTCACGGTCTCAGTCCCGTTGGTGCACCCTAATGTGTTTCCTGTTTCGCCTCAGCTCACCTCCTGGAGTGTTTACGATGTACGACATTGGTGCACATTTTCATATGATTTCTCCTGGTCGGTCCCACGCCTTTCCTCCTTCTCTCTTTAAGTTTAAGAGGACATAATCACCAGGCTGAATGTCTGACAGAGGGTGTGACGTTCTGTCAAAATATCTCTTCTGGTTGGCTTTGCTCGCAGCATCCCGTTCCCGTATCCTTCCTTGGTCTACTGGGTGGGGATTGAGAATACTTGGGACTATAGGTAGGGTTGTCCTGATTTTCCTACCATACGCAAGTTCAGCTGAACTTGCCCCTAGTCCGACTATTGGCGTAGCCCTGTATGAGAGTAGTGCCAGGTAAGGATCCTGCTGTCTCAGAAA